AATATGCAGCTGAAAAGTGCGCCTCCAAAATGGAAACTGCACATTAATTGATCAGTGTTGATGGCCTATTAATCTGTGTGAAAAACTCTAGTACAGGTCTATTAATTATATTAGCTGAATGTAAAGACAGAAAACGAAAGAATGAAAGTGCTCAATAACTTCATTAGACAGCCCAAACCGCTTGAAATTTTGTACTTGTGCTTCACATTCTCCCAGAAATACTTGTAAGCAAATAACAATTTACAATGATTATCAGCTAAAGTCTACGAATGTTACGGAGTATTTTCAAATCTTTCCGAAATGTAATACTTTTTACGTACCAGGCAGATCTATTTTTAAGAACTTCTTCGTTGCATTTAGTTCATCTTCAACACCAAAGACGTATTGATACACTGGTGCAGTGGATTTCTGGGCTATACATCTGAGAGCGTACATAACGCCTTCACTAAACGAAAGATCTGAAAGCAACTGAAAAGTTTGTTCTATAGAATTTGATCTATGTATGCATCCATATAAAGTAATAGTTCTATTAACAAAAATAATCAAATTTTCTAGTCATTATGCTCAATAAGTCATGAAAACATTTACGTAATAATTCTCAAGTCAAATGAATGTCATTTCTGTATTCTTACTAATTGTACAGAAAAGAGTTCTTATAAATGGGTATAAAATGGGGATGAAATAATGCATTGGGCAGACTCAACTATTTTAATATCACTCTAGTACACCGAAAGGAAGATCCTCATCTGAAACTTGACTTTCGTAGCAAAGCGTGAACTTTACTGTAGCATCTACTAAGTTGACATTAACCCCTCAAATATTAGATTAATAAGACGTTATGTTTCTAAAGAAATATTATTTTCCTCAAGTAATAATAACATTCTATAGCATAATTACTAAGAAATTTAATTAAATTTTGAAAATAATTTGAAGCGCATCACAGTCTTTGAATAGATATTATGTTTAATGGACAGAAAAAAAACTAGTTAATTGGACTTCGCTAATCGTTTTGATTCAATCTGAGATATATAAAATACATAATGGTTAGATATTTCTCAATAGTAGTGTTATATACTTCAATGGAAAGTATGTAAAGTACTTATTACTGTTGTGATCACAGTGAAAATTGAAAGAAAAATACTTTCCTCTTAAGGCTCTCTTCCACTTAATATTTTACCTCCAGTTTATCTTAAGCAGTAAGTGGGATGGGGAAAAGAAGCGTGGACATCAACTGCGTGGACTGAAACTTCGGGTGAAATGGAGAACACCAGCTACCTTGAAGAGTTCAGCTCGTCGTATTGATGATGACCTGAGTACGTCAATGAAACTGTTTCTGGGAATTCTGAACTACGCTGAGAGCAAACGTTAATCAATTAATAGCCAACTAAACGGGGATATAAGCTAATATTAATTTTGAAATTGATGTAAAACAAACAGAAACGGAACATCAATAATCACTAGCTGAATAAACTAGTATGGTTCTTAAGAAAACATCCATATCTAGCTTAAATTTAATTCCCGTAAACTGAAACAGAGGGCGAGTGCTTCTGTAATGCGATTCGATTGAAAAAAAATGAATATTGGAATCGGAAACTATTTGCAATTCGAAAAAAATAATATTATGAATCTTGCGTTTGACAAATAAATTGGAATAATTTATGGTGGCGTTGTTAATTCATTATATCTCTTTTTCCAATAAGTATAATTTCACGTTTATATTTATTTTATTTGTATACACATGTGTGTCTTATTCATTGAGTAATTGTTAAAGTTAATATTTTTAATTGCAAAGCTTGTTTAACTTGTGCATTGTGATCATCGGAGCATAGTCCATTCTATTTTATTTCATTCCTAGTTATATTTTATGAATTGATTTAATGCATTTTTGTACACCTGTTATTGTAATGCCTACATTAAAAGAATTAATGAAATGGGGAATCTGTTCTTTTTTTGCGGGATCCACTCAAAAAATATCCGCATTGAACACTGGAATTCAAACAGCGATTATTAATTTTGTTCTTGATTTTCCTAGAAAATGAAGTAATCAGCTGCTCGCTTTGATGTGTGTGTGTGGTGCAACGCAGGGCAATTTTGAGTGTAGAAAGACATACAACTCTTCAAAAGATCAATTGAGTATAAATTGAATTTTGACTAGAAAAAAACTTTCTAAAGTTCTAATTTCATAGGAAGAAGCGTAATAAGGGACCTTTTTGTTTCCTTCCTTCTGCAGCGGGTAAGGCAAAATCAAAATTAGAAATTTGGAAAAGTTTGCCTATTATGCAGTAATCAACATTCTGCAAAACAAAAAATATACACTTGAATTAAGTCATACTGTAATGATGCCTCGATAAATCCAATTTTCGTTGAAAAAGAATGAATATTTTAATCCAATACGGGAATATGTTTCTGCAATTACAGTTTTTTTCTACTGCATCTGTCTGTGATTTGCTATTTCTATATCTCATTTTTATGCTGAGCGCGTGGCCGAAGAAAGTCTTCGGTCCCAGAGTGATAGTGGGTAGGCCAAGTGAAGCGAAAAATAGAGAAAACGTAAAATGATAGTCGTAGTACGATGATGAGGTTCAGGCGACAAGGCAAATAGCAGCGAAGGAGGTCCCGAGAATGGAAATCAATACTAAATGGTATGATGGAAATGGGCCGTGGGCAGGACTCTGCCAAAGATGTGAGAGGATGTGGTTTTTCTAGCTCGCAACCAATTGCATGGTTTCTGGTGAGCTTCAGATGAGAACTATGTCGGGTGAAGGGTTTTTCTGAGGGAATTTTTAGCTCAAATAACAGTTAGGTTTCTTATAATGTCCGGTTTTGTTCCTGACTAATATAATTTTGCGTAAATGTAATACCGACTTATGTGGTTCAAGGAATCACCTGACAGAGAGTATATAGGATTAGAGTTCGTGAACAGGATTTTTGACACTCGCTAGATAGTTATGTCGAATCGAGCCGTTGTCTCGAGAAAAATTCTAGTCGCCGGCAGCTCTGATTGGTTTCCCGTGGTTTCAGCAACCAACACTACGCGAACCCCGCAACAGTTCCCTAACAAACGAGTCACGGACCATCCGCGATATTTCCTTTCTCTTCCTTGTCCTCTTCGCATCCCTTACTTACAAACACACTTCCATGCACTACCCAATTTCCTATGCCGGGGGCTGTGAAGGTTTGCTTCGACAGGGGCGGTGCCCCGCTGGTTTGAGAAGGCCTCGCAAGGCGTCGTGTAGGTGCTCATCATTCAGCGGAGAAGCACACCGCCACTCCTGTGACACAACCCGCACTCGCACGCGGAGAATGCTCTTAGCAGGTTGACGCAGCGCGAAACAAATGATCAATCAATCGATGCGATGAAATGCTTTTGACGGATCTTCATGCAGTAAAAGCGGAATATACTTACACGATATAGAAACACATTTAATGTGTCTTTTGAGTGGTTTGCCATCCATAAAGAACTGTCTCAGTTCGTTAACGGGTCCATCGGAAGGTATGCGAAGTTCTGTGAGAATGAATTGCCTCCATTTTCCATCCAACTCCCTTGCAATAGTCTCCTTCCGAAAATCACGATCTTTGAGGAAGAAAAAAAAATTGAAAAAAATTTCAGTCATTTTCCAAAATACTTTAAACATGTTACTGACGCTTGATGTAATAGTCTAATAATTTCCGGAATCCCGCTTAGTCTAGTGAAATACAAGTGTTAGGGGGGTTACTGCAGCGGTGCAGCGGTACTGCTGTGGGCTGACTTTCACAAATTCTTGAAAGTCATGACAGCCATGATTTTGATAATATTCTAAAATGTTTAATGCACTTTTTACCACATTAAAGAAGTATAAATTGCGGCTTTTATTCGGAATGACGTTCGGCATGTATATTTTGTTTCCTAGCGCATGTGATTTTGATGATGTGAAATTGGAGTATTCCATGTCCAGTGGTCTCAGGTTCCTCTCCGCCTATGATTTGATACAATTATTTTATGCCGCGTTTCATTGGTCTCAAATTCACTTTGTAAAATTTTTATTTTATTTTAATTTGAAGTTTAGTTTTAGAGATACAGTAGTTTGATTGGTCTTATTCAGCGTCGACAGTATGACTATAATATTTGGGCAAATTTGGGATATTATATTTCCTTGTCCGTTATTTATAAACAAAAAAAATTGGCGTATTTTCACACTTTTCCAAACTGTTCAATTAAATTAGTAATTTTTTTGGCATCATACACTTAGTAAATTGCAGTAAAAACGCTGAACTAGTTGAGCGTTCTAAGTGTTCAAAATAATTGAAGACTTCATTGTTAAAAATCTTCCATATTACTCAAGTTAGGAAGTAAGAAATATGAAAATTATTTTACAATAAACCAGGTTAATTTTGCTTCGGGATTCGTTACGTCGACTTCTTAGCTTTACATCCCCAATACAATCAACAATTAAGTTAAAAAGAGTTGTTTGGGGGAAAATCTCTAAAATAGTGTGTTTTTGATTTACCTGTACAGAACAGCACCATCTAGAAAAACTCTTAGGCATATCTTATTAAAGATATTAAAAATATTGGAAAAGAAAATTTCATTATTCATTGGCGGCTCAAAATAAAAGCTTGGTAACGGTCATAAAAAGAGCTGTTCCTATAAATTTTAGTAAAATTAATGGGAGAGAAAAGAAACATGCTTCTAGAAAACTATTTTATAGAATTTACTTTTAAAAAACAAATCCCATCATCCCATTATTTTCTCTCCAATCTCACCCATAAGACTTTAACCATCCATGTGTCTCATAATTCTTTGTTAACATTATTATCGCTTAAGAGAGATTTGTTTACAATATAAACATATTTGAAATGAATTAAAGTGTGTTCTAGTTTTGGGTTATAATGAAAGATGGACCAATGGGCATAGAATTAATCTGAGAAGAATATCAATGGCTAAATATTATAATACTCACATAATACAACCATTAGACATTCCTGGTTTACATATCCAGACATGTAGGGAACATCATGATGGCGACCTTCTTTCATCAGCTGCTCAACTGAAGCAGGTAGAAATGTCTCCACTCCAGGAACCACCAGTTCTGGCGTTGGCACGAACGAGCATTTGACCAAGCGTTCTTTATCCTGATTCAAAAATTAGAAGGAATTGGTTTATTTTATTATTAACTAAGTGTACAACGGCATATCTGGCAATCCTAGTAAATTAATATGCATGTATGCTTGTGTTCATATCTCTGTTTCACGTGGACCTTCGACATTAGTATATGTGTGTTTTAGGTGTGTGTTTGTTTTTATTTTACAGAATATAGATAACTTTACATATTTGCCCATAGTATTCCTTGTCTTATCACTGTGCCATTGCTCTCTTAATTCAGCTACATACAGTTCACTGACTGACCAAAGTCTATTCTTTTTTTGTGTTATACTACGTACACTAGCAAAATACCGGGCGTTGCCCTTTTTTCATATCCAATCCTTTTGATCTCCATGTCTGTGTATCTTTCTCTCTTTGTGTCTCTGTGTGTGTATCTCTCTATTTTTCTCTGTCAGCCTCTGTCTCTTTCTGACTGTCTCTCTATATATGTGCCTCTCTCCCTCTCTTTGTCTCTGTTTCTCTCTCTCTCTCTCTCTCCGTCTCTGGCTCTTTCTCTGTCTGCTTCTGTGTCTTTGTCCGCGTCTGTCTCTTCCTGTATGCCTCTTTCTGTTTCTTTGCCTTTCTGCCGTTCTCTGTCTGTGTCTCTGTGTCTCTTACTTACGTGTGTCGTTGTCCATCTCTCTATCTATCCGATTCTCTATCTCTTTCCGTCTTTCTCATCGTCTCTCTCTGTCCCTTATGCAATCTGTCTGACATTGTCTCCCTATTTGCCTCTATCTCTGTGTATCTCGGTTCCTGTCCCTCCCCGTCTCTGCCCCTCTGTCTCCATCTCTCCGTGTCTTTCTCTGTCTCTGTTTTTATCTGTCTGACTGTCAGTGTATGTTTGCCACTGTCCGACTTCGCCTGTTAATTGAACGTTTCTGGATATGGAAATGGAATAAAATGTTTAACAACATTTTCTTCTTAAAGTAAAGTAACAATGAGTGGACGTTTAGATGGCAAACATGCAAAGAAATAGGTGGATATATTTAACAGAGAATGAACACCTTTGTTTATAATTACTGTAATTATGAAAAAGGGTATATTATTCAACTGTTATTATTGTGGTGACAAGAAGTAAATAAAAGAATACTACGTAAGTATGCCAATACGTCTTGTGCAAATTTACACATCGCCTCCAATTGCTTTCAGCAATTGGAACATACTTGCATCTACGTTTCCTGGAGTCATTTGTCCTATACCAAGTATCTCAGCAGTGACTCGTCATTGAGGTGCAAAACGTGGAGATAGGCAAGGATGTGTGTGTGTGCGTGTGTTTGTGAAGCTCAAATCGAACCTTCTCCGGCACTGCCTCCGTGCGAGCCATGCGCACTAGCTCCATGTGGTCGACAGTTCTGAGAAAGTCCACGATGGCGTGCGGGTCGTCGCTGGTGCAGCCCAGAAGACGCGCCAGGCGCCGGGCAGTGGCAGCAGGCTCCGTTTGGTGTGCCCATGGGTTCAGCGCTGCACCACTCATGGCGATGGCGCGGTGGAACAGACCTACAAAACGTTACACTTAGATTTGCTGCCCTATGATAAGGGAGAGATTAAGTATCATGCAAAGGAACTTCAAGATCTGGACTTTTTGATTTGCTTTAACCGAAGAATATATACGTAGAAAATTGGTCACAAGAGTATTGTATTGTTCTGTATTGCATGTTTATTGTATTACAGATACTATGCATCTGTTACTCTGAGTAGTATACACTTTGAATTATGCTATGCATAACGTACTAGGCATTATTCTATGCATTAATTTTGCATTATCTATGAAATACATGAGCAAAAAAATATCGTAATCATGTTACAACGTGACATTTTTTAAAATTTTTGTATACTTTACAATAACTTAATATGAGTCACCACTTTTAATATAGAATTGCTGTGATACTCTAATGACTGTTATTTATAAAATACTTGATGGCTAATGTACTTATATTAATAACGGGACTACCCTCATAAGAATTGTCTAATTTAGGCATTAATCACTACAAATGTATTCCTGTCCGTAATTTTAAACATTTGAGAATGTAAAAGTATACATTTTTTAATCATTTGATACACTGTTTTTGACATTAGAACTTCTATTATTTCCTTTTCGGAAGGTTGCACTTGCGCTTGCTTCGACATTTCCTCTAACGGCTTCCTTATACTGAAGTTACAACGACGCATAAATGAATCCTTTAAACGCTCGCCTTTGGACATGGGCGAGAGCATTTGAAAATGCACAGAAGCCCCGCCCGCGCTCATGCCGAAAATGGTGACGTTGCCTGGGTCTCCCCCGAACGCCGCGATGTTCTTCTGCACCCAGCGCAGGGCTGCCACCTGATCCTTCAGCCCCACGTTGCCAGGGGACGCCTCCTCCATGAACAGGAAGCCTGCAAACGATTTAGTAAACTGGAAATTACATCTACATGGGCTGTACCATATTAATACTTAATGTCAATGTTGCCACCTCGTAGACGAGGAGTCAGACTGACATTTCTCTTAATATATTAGGATATAATATTTGCATTCGTCCGCCAGTGTTTATACTCTAAAAGAAAAAAAATATGCGGGCAACTACTCGATTACGTCATTAGTACTTGACGATAAGGCAAATATTTGGAATTCTATTGGCTCTATTCTGATAAGGGATTTTATCTACGCTTCTTTATAATAACAATATTATTATTATTATTATTATTATTATTATTATTATTATTATTATTTATAATGTGTAATATATAATATGTTCTCATTGGTTGCCGTCACATTTACATCGTAACTCTTTATTCTCTGCACTACTTAGTTATTGTTAATTTTCTCATATTTAACACCGTTTTCACGGAAATTGCTCACATGTCCTTGTTTCACATTATCTATTCCACTCCCTATATTTTCCTCACAACCAATTATGCTGTATTCCATCTTGTTTATATTAAGTGTACATGAAGAATTTGTATATGGGTCTTTTAGCACATTTTTTCAGTGTCGTATTTAATATTTCTGCAAATATTAATTTAATCTCATAATCCTTGTGATAAATCAGCACACTATAATACTACTAATACGAGTATATTACAAGAACACACTAATACACACATACACACGATTCCTTTGAGTGGAAAGTTATTTCGTGTGTCAATAAGTATATTAATAAAAACAGTGGTGCTACGACAGTTCAAACTATTTCGCATTAATTTCTAAATTTCGAAGTTTTAGAAACTTTGACGTTGCACGCCGAAAGACAAGACAGACGTTTTGCTGTCATGTTTATTTATTTATACAGATTGTGACCACAAAAACTAAATTAGAGAGCATACGACCCATTTGACAGAAAATAACGATGATTCAAGAAAAATGTGGTCTTTCTATCTATCCGTCCGTCGCTTAGTCGCGGCTTAGTCGATTTTCTCCAAAATTGATATTATTTTATCGATCTGGCCATACTCGGGTCCCTGCGAATTTGAAACAAATGGTATTAATTTTTGAAAGTACTTTACAAAAATCCTTAACTACACTTTCAACAAGTTTCTCAAAAATTGCTCCTATTTGTTTGATTAAAAGTTTTCTTTGTAAAAGAGAAAGGTATAGGACACTTTGGTGTAAATCTTATTTTTGAAGACATATCTGACTTTCGAAAATTACAAAACGTCAAACTTTTTTGGCGTGTTCCTACAACTACAATATGGAAGATTGCGATTTTTTACATAATGAAATCTCTTGCTCAAGACATCTTGAAATAAGATAATTTACAATTTTCCATGTCCACGATTCCAAATTTATCTTTTTTTTAAGGAATAGAAAAGTGCACGCTTGTAAGAAAAATAAATCAGAACCTATTTTCGGAAACTTCTCTGTATTTTGGAAAATTTCAAAAAATTAACATTGCAAAACTACAAAATTATTAATTGAGATGTTTAGTTAGTAAGATCAAAATCAGATCATTAAATAAGGTATTTTATCTTTCTTTGACACCATGAGAAGATGCGCTTAATTTTTACAAATCGTCCATATTTCAAATTCGACTTTCCAGACTTCTTTTGCTAAATATATATTTCAGATTAGATCGCAATATGATAATTGCAACGCCTCGGCAAGGGAGTTTGAAATTATTAGAATTACTACTCGTTGTTAGGTAATATTTCTGTTTGTGTGGATCGCATTTCTGTATTTACAGATTTATGTTGATACATTCCCTTTAAAAGAATTCGGTTTCTCAACTCGTGTGTTACGATTGGTAATGAGTTTTACAAGTGGTAGCTTAGCAACTGTCAGAAATTAAGGTATCATAATATAATGTTACCGTTCACTATGCCAGAGAGGAAGTGATGTTGCAGCCAGCACTAGTTTTTTTGTTCTTTTTAGATTTACAATCACTTTACGTGCCCTTTAAATGTGTTTTTATTTGAATTATGGGTTTGACCTTACCAAGAACTCCCAACTCGTATGTTGAAAGGAGACCATGATATATTCTTCAGCAATCAAGTAATGGGCCGCAGAAATCTTTCTCTCCCCGACCGCTCTCGAAGCCTCCTCCGTGAATGAAGAGCATGACTGGAAGGGATCGTCTCTGCGAGCGGGCAGGTTCCGAATTATATATTCATGAACAAGACATCGTCACTTTCTTCGAATTTATTCTTCATTGAAGTTGAATAGCACAGCAATCGCCTTCTTCAAAATGCATCTCGAACTCCTGCCCAAGATTCCGGAGGTTGAGCATCCTACACAGAACAAGCACCTCTCCATTTGATGTTAAGTTACATTTCACTGCCAGTTAGGAAGTACACTTAGTAATCAGTTAAGGAAAAACATGCATTTTTAAAATTAAAAATGAAGAGACTTCAACTTTAAATAGCTTAACACACATTAGATACAAAATAACGTCGGAAAAATTGACGAATGGAGTATTACAAGAAAAGAAGGAAAGAAAGACAGACAAAAGAAGAAGGAAAAAAACAAAGGCAGCATAACAATAATGGCAATTATCAG